GATTAGTGACCTCTTCAATAAGTTTGACGCTAATACCAATTGTTGGATTTAATGAAACTTCATTGAGTAATTAGTACAAAATTTAACTAAAACTAAAATTGACTTGAATGTAGAGAGAATTCAGTTTCGCTCCCGTGCTTCCCGATGCCACCATCTGAGCTTTGATCAGTTACCTGCACAGTAAAAGGAGAAAGAATTACTCTTTACCTTTCAAACTAAAGTTGTGAAACTTAATTAGTTGGCCTCATGCATACAGAGGTGAAAGTAAGGATCCTTCCTAATATGTCAGTGAATTTTGACTCATTCCATTATGTGCCAAAATATAAAATTAAATTAGAATCATGCTTAATTAAAATCATATTCCATGTATATTATAATATGGTATCACTATAATTACTCATAATTTGATGTTAATTAACTTAAATTTAAATTAATTAGCTATATTAATCCACAATATAATATAATTGCAACAAAGTCAAGCGCCTCAGACCCCAAAATTATGAATTCCCTGTAATATATACCATACGCTATAATTGTTTCACTTATAGTTATATATATTTGATTAAATTAAATTAGCAATCACATTAAAATTGTTATTTTTATCTTTTACATAATTTTATGTATTGTAATTTAAGAGGAATTAAATTATAGTATAATTTGTCTATATATTGTATCCGTGATTATTATTTAAAAATTCTTAAAAATAATAGACTTATTAGAAATATTAAATCACATTCATGTACACTTAAAAAAATCAAATTAACTTTCTAATTTTTTAACAGGGTTTTAAGTTTTCAATCAAGTATTTAAAGTGTATTATTTTTTTAAGGGAGTATATATCTTCTCATATTTTTGTGATTTTTAAATTTTTTTTCTATCATGTAAAACTTCAAATGAACTAAGTTAATTGTTCATATTCTTCATTTTCTTTAAATTATTTTTGTTTGACATATATGTGATAAATATAAGTGTGAAGGCCGGACAATCCAAATATATGAAAAAACTTAAAATGATGAATATTTTTGTGTTGGATACATAATTGTATATGACACTAATTTTTGAATCTAATATATATATATATATATATATTATATTACAATATACATGATTACATGATTAAAATTGCTTATATGGATGTCTGGATAATCTCTTTTAATGACACATAGGATAATATTTATATTATTTTATTTATTAAATAAATTTTTTTAATAAATTATTTAAATTGAATATTTTGGATAATTATTTAAATTGAAATCAATATCTATCTAAGATTGAAATTTTTGCATAAGATTTTAATTCAAATATATTAAATCATAATTTATCTTTTTTTTTTAAATTTAATGATAGTTCCAAATATATATATATATATATACTTAATAAAATTTTATTTTTTGTCAAATAATTCTATTTAATAAATTATTTAAATTTAATATTTTTAGATAATTATTTAAATTCAAATCAAAATCTATTAAAATTTGAAAATTTTTTAATAAATTATTTAAATTTAATACTTTTAGATAAGGTAATAAATTATTGACTAGAAGCATGTTTAAAGTAATAAAAGCTTACATCTTTATATGAAAATATAAGACATTTAAATGTTGATAAAAAAGTTAGATAAAAATATGTTTTTGCTTTGAAAACAAATATAATGTTTTATTTATGTTCTAATTTAAATATTTTTATATTATATATTTGGTTAATTTATTTGTTTCTCTTTAGTCCATAACTTTTTTTAATTTTTCTTAGATTGATTATAATTAACCTTTTGTATTTTATATAGTTTTGTTCTATTCATTTCTTCAATATTTTTATTCTGTGTTAATTTATTAACATATTTGCTTTTAGTATTGTATATATTTAATCTTGACAAATTAATATGTAAATTTATATTCTTTATTTCCTTTTGCTATACTTTTTATTATTGAATTTATTTGTCTACAATGGATGATATGAGAAAAATGATAATCACTATCATATCTATCTCAGAAAAATACTATCAATTATGTTTAAAATGATTAAAAATAAAAAAAATATTTCAAAAAAAGTTTTTGAGCACAACATAAAGAATTATTATTTTCCTTTTGTCTAAAAAAATATTTTATTGACATATATAGAAATAATTGTTAGCCTAATATATTTATGTAATGATTACTTGAAGTATGTAAAAAATAAGAACTAATAAAACGCAAATGATTATAACAAAATTAATAATTGTGATTTGTTGTTCAATCAAATATATATATATATATATATATATATACACACACACACACCACCTAATTAACATTATGATAAAAATAATTATTATTTTTAACTATTTAAATATTGATTTTTGATTTTTTATCAAGCAAAAAAAAAGCGGTAGTAAAATTTTTAGTATTTACAAATAAATTGAAGAAAATATTTTTTAATGAAAAAAAGGATTTTTATAATTTTTGAAAATTTACAAAAGTTTAGATTTCTTTTAAATTAACAATATCATTTATAATATATTATGTATAAATTATCATTTAATTATAACTTAATATTTATAAATATATGATTATATATTAGATAAATAATTAAAAAATAAATTTAAAATTATGAAAAATTTAATAAAAATTTCGTACATTGTATGGGTTAAAAAAGCTAATTTAAATAATATAGTAAATAAAAATATCTATAATTTTAATTATTCAATTTGAAATCAAATATCAAAATCTATCATTGATCATCCTTCTAATATGGGATTAACTCAATCCTAAAAAAAAATTCAATGAGATTTGATAGATGATAAATGCTAGATAGAATCCAAAAAATTTCGTTCAAAATAATCTTAAAAGACATTATAGTCCAATGTAACTTTTGGTTTTTCAAGCATAATATAAAAAAATTGAATAATATTTTCCATCTTGGTGGGGATCTTGTTAGCAAATGTTTTATATACAATTCACCTTTAAGGTTCATATTTTTTCATTCGGGACTTCAGCTTAATTGCGAGAAGAGTCAACTGTTTTCCTCAGGTGTTCCAAGAAGGGCATTACAAGAGATAGTGCAGGTGACAAGATTCAAACTAGGCACGCTCCCTGTAAGATACCTTGGGGTTCCATTAGTTACACGTAAGATCTCCATAAAGGATTGTACTCCACTAATAGTGAAGATAACAACAAGAATACGTAGTTGGGCAGCAAAAATCTATCATATGCAGGTAGATTACAGCTGATACAATCAGTCATATTTAATATTAAAAGCTACTGGTGCAGACATTTTATGCTGTCACAAAGGGTGATCCAAAAGGTAATACAACTATGTTCAAGGTACTTCTGGAAAGGGCAGCATGAATCAGCTAAAGAGGCAAGGGTTAAATGGCAAACTCTATGTAAGCCTAAATCCGAAGGGGGACTCAGATTAAAAGACTTGTTCATTTGGAATCAGGCTTATATGATTAGAAATCTATAGTCTATTTTCTCACAAGCAGGTTCATTGTGGATTGCATGGGTGCACAGTTATGTACTTAAAGGGCGCAACATATGGGAGGTGCCTATTACATAAAGTAGCAGTTGGAGCATGAAAAAACTATTACAAATGAGGAGACATGCCACTTGATTGCAAACAGAGGAAGGCATGGATGCCACTTGATTGCAAACAGAGGAACGCATGGGATGGAATAGGGGAGGAATTGGGAACTCGGTTACAGCTATATGGGAAGAATTGAGACTGAAACAGATGAAGGTATTGTGGCACAGACTAATATGGCGCAAGTTGCATGTACCCAAACATGCAATCATAGCTTGGATGGCGATATTAAATAGACTCCTTACCAAAGATAGATTGAACGCATGGGGGGTTACAAATGAAACAGGTTGTGTGCTATGCAAACAAGAGGATGAGTCTAGGAGCCATATCTTCTTTAGTTGCAATTACTCTAAAGTTGTATGGAAACAGGTTTTATAGCTCTGCAACTTACATAGAGAGGTATCTGGTTGGAAAAGGAATTCCATTGGGCTGTAAGCAAGTTGAGAGGGAAGGCACTAATATCTATCATATTGAGACTGGCATGGGGTTGCATACATTTATCTGATTTGGAGTGAAAGGAACAAGAGGCAGTTTGCTGCTGCAGAAAGTAATGAAGGAACAGCTCCTTAGAATGATAAAAGAAGTGATACAATTAAGATTGATGGAAAAGAAGTGATACAATTGAGACTGATGGGGCTGGAAAATATTGCTTTTGATAGAGTAAATAAAGATTTTTGTGAGAAATGGGGTTTAAGAAGATATATATTGTATAGAAGTCAAAGTGGTAGATAGAATTATATGAATTGTATATTAGTAGCAGTGAAATATTGTTTTAGACAATAAAATTATAAGTTATCTAAAAAAATTAAAAAAGTTACTTATAAAATTTTATGAAATATTTTAAAATATTTTAATATTAAATAAAATTTAAAAAGTGTAAATAAAAAATTAACTTCAAAGTAATAACTAAATTTTAAAAATATCATATGAGTTTATCCATCTTATAAAACGTTCATTCAATCAATTTGATTAATTTCAAAATGAGTTATTCAAAATTAAATTAACCGAACTATAATATTTTATTTTTATTAATTAAATCAAATTTATTAATTTTAAAAATCTAGCATATTGAATTTAATTTAATTAATTTTTAAATTAATTGAATAATAAAATATATTTAATTTAAATTATATATTTACCTTTAAATTTTTTATATTTGAAATAAATTAAATAAAATTATCCAACAAAATACTTAATATTAAAATATTAAATTAAAAACTTTAACACTTTGTAAAAAACAGTGTTTCGTGTATTTTTAATTTTATGTTTAAGTATTTTTATATTTTCATTAAAACTTCATGGTGTATTTGATCGGTTGCTTGTGTAACTTGTAAGTGGTGGCCCACCCCTTTTCCACAGAAAGTCCTATATGTGAGCAAGAAAAAGAATTCTGATTTGATATCCTCCTTCTCCAAGCCATTAAGAAGTTGTTCAAAAGTCAATGACCCCAGTAAGAGCTGATATCATAGAACAGTCGAATTTCCAAACTTTCTACATCAATTTTTTTTTATAGAATTGAAGAAGATTACAAGTATAACCTTATATTAAAACGATAGATTGACAATAAATAACCTATTTGATTCTGTTGTTTAAATCGTAAGACTGAAGCCTCCATTGACAAGAAGTCACTAAAGCTTCCAAATTCTATCCATCATCGAACTAACTGCATCAACCGCCTTTTGCTGCTGCTAACTCCTGCACACTAAGACTTGATAAATTAACAACTTGAAATTGGTGAATTTAAAACCAAATTAACATCAGAAAATTGAATTCATCTTGAAATAGAAAAGATTTATTTTATAAGAATAAGGATGGTTGGAAGTTATCTCCATCCAGCAAAGGAAAATTATGCTGAAGAAGCTAGCCAACCCACATGCTCCTGTTTAAGGAAGGTATCGGCTCAAAGTTGAACGTTTGAGACTAGCACCTTAAAAGCGACTTCTAACAAATACAGGAGAAAGTTATTATTAATTTGACAAAAACTACTAGTCATATTCTTGGCAAACACGTAAAGCCAATTCTACCATCGACAATTAAAGAAGTTAAAGTTGTCAAAGACTTTGCTGGACCATCAATCCTTCAAAAGAGACAAGAAAGTGAATGACGACTTCAAATTGGGATATGCTATTATTATACGTAAGTTCTGGACGCCCACTCGCTAGAACTCCATGTATTTGCAATAATTCAATCTTGCAGAGCAAGTTGTTGAAGCCCAAAGGAATATACATGATCTGGAATAAACATTGTAAAGGGATTTTTTTGACGAGAGGAACCTTTGCAAACAAGTAGAATGAGATGTATGGGGATACGGCGAAAAAGAAACTGGAGCAGAGCTTGAAGTAAAAAACAAGAGATCAAAAGTTCAAACTCCACCTTGTTTGAGTACAAGCTGACTACAGCAGCTAACAACTGGTTTCCAGCTATTTCTTTCACTCTTTGTATCAGTTGCGGCCTGGAAATCCTTTTTTCCTGTAAAAATCATATGTATGGGAATAGAATGATGAGAGTCAGAACTCAAAGTAATTGCATATGACATAAAATCAATAAAGCCAAAAAAGTTTAAATGGAGAATTTAATGCAGTTACTCGAAAATCTCTGTACTGTTTGTTAAGGGAAGCCATTTCTGAAGGACCTAAAAACCTTGAGAGCATGGAAATCAATGTGGGAAACCTCATCCATGGCGATCTAGGCTTGATGGTATTTGCCTCTACTAATCCTTTGGAGCCTAAATGATGCACAAATCAAACTGGCTAAAAACACTATATTATAAGATATGAAAAATGTAAATATAACAATGATGAAATATAAAAACGATAGAAAAAAAATATAAAAATGATATAATTTAAAACTAATAAATTTCAAATATGGTGTTGATAAAACTAAAAAAAATGTATTTTGTATTTTATGTGCAGATAAGAATTATATTATGATAATTTTTATATTTTATAAATATTTAATAAGAAATAAATACAATACATATACATAAATTTTTAAATTAAAAAACTATGAAAACAAGTCCAAACTAAACAAAAGTTGCAACTGAATTAAGCCGCTTACCTCTTAAGTAAGGGGCCTCAAAACTGATGATGTAACAAGGGAGGATGTGAGAATTCATATAAGGACTCCAAACGATATATTTTCTGGGCGCTGAAAGATCGTCTACACTGGAATCGAACTCTGGGGAACTTGGATGAAACTGGTTAGAATCGGCGGTCACCACTTCCTGCTTTCCCAATATAACGCGGCATAACAACAAAAGCCCCAATCCATTTTCATCAACCTCTGAAGACAACACACTGCAATATATGAGACTTTTTTTATTAGAAATATGGTAAATTAGTAACTATTTGCATCAATTACATATACTTCACATCACAAAGTTTGAGTAAAAAGAAAAATGCCATTTATAAAAAAAAAAAATCATAGAACTTTGAAAATCAAGATTATGATCGGATAAAAAGCTTGTCTATTCAAAAAAACAAAAAAGAATTTTTATAATTGCAAGGAAAACTTAGCATCAATAATTAATTGTTTCCATAGGATAGCATCCGATTTTAATTAAAATTTTTTTGCCAAATTAAAAGAAAATAAAATTTATCAAATATAAATTATTTTGTCACCATTTGATCACAGCTATAAATAATTTAAAGTTAATTATCCAAAATTCTAGATAATTATATAAAAAATGAAATGAACTTTATAATGAAAAGCAAACCTTTCATACCTGTAAACAATTTAAAGTTAATTATCTAAAATTCTAGATAGTTGTATAAGATAAAAGTTTAATAATTAAAAGCAAACCTTTCATGGGAAGAACATGAACCTAGCTATAGGACTTTGGAGATAGTTTTATTAGCTTTCATAAGAAAAAAACTTAACAGAGAAGCCTTTGTTTCTTCCAACTCTCAAAAACGAAACTGAATCCAGAAATTATAAAAAAAAAAAAAAAAAAAACACGTAGACCATTATCCACAAAACGTAACAAATCAATAAAAATCATCACAAAACCAATAAGAAAGTACAGTTTAGAAAAAGCTTACCTGTCGAAGGAAAACTTTGCAGGAGACAAAGATATACTATGTCTAGAACAATCTCGATTGCCATCGGCCTTAAGACACCAACTAAATCCATGCATCACAATGTCGGAAATCTCATCACTGGCAGCACCATACCAAGCATACTTGACATTGGCATCACCACCACACTTGTCAGCCACCGCCTTGGAGAAAACCTGAAAGCTTTGTGCCCGAGCTTTCCCTGACCAACTAGAGTTTAAATTCTTATGAATTGCCACGATTTTTGTTTTCTTAGCCAAACCCGAGTTTTGTCCCATGCCTGAAAAAAAGCTTGTTCTGATGATGAAATCTTCCAAGCTTGATTCTTGTATCTTAGCCAAACCGTTTTTGACAACAAACTCTAAACCATCTGAATCAATCTCGTTGCTTCCGGACGTAGCACATGGTATTTGGTCATCACCAATAGTCACCGAGACTTGATCTTCTACAACAATTTGATTCATCTATTCCTTTAAAAATTACAAAATCACAACTGAAGGATGTAGGAAAGAGTTTTTTTTTTTTTTTTCCTGATAGAAAAAAAGAGAGTTACACTACAGCGGACGTGTCTACATAATTTATTTATAACTTTACAAAGATTTCCTCATCCGCCTCTTAAAGTATTTTTTCTTTTTTTTTTATCAGTTTTTAAATTGTAAGAACAAAGATTAAAATAAAATAACAAATAAGGCGGCTTAACGTTGCGATTGGCAGATACGCAGCTTTGGTGCCGCAGCATCCAAATCGAGTATGGAAGTGGCGGTCAAGCATCCCTAGCCACCTTTGAAGTTTCATTTTTTTTTTCTAATTACAAAATTACGATTTTAGCCTCACCTTTTATAGAAAGTGAAGGAATCTGCTCTAAAAATGAGATTGATTCCGCTTCCTCTAACTTTTTAATAGTTTCGTTTGATTTTGCCTTGATCCGAAGTCATATTATTATCTTTTATATTTGATTTTGATTTTGATTCGATACATGTATAATTTATATTTAATTTAAATCAATTCAAAATTAATTTAATAATTTTTATTAGTATAATGTTTTTTGTCATCATTTAGTATAATGTTTTAAAATATTATTTTTCAATATAAATTATATTTTAATTATATATAAATATAATATTTTTATTAAATTAAGATATTAAATATTAATTTTATTAATATAATATATAAATAAAAAATAAGTAAATAATAAAATAATAAATATATTTATGCATATATATATTTCAAGGCGAGACTAAACATTCCTAAAATTACCTTCAACTTTTTCGATTACTTTTATATGAAAATCAGTTTTATCTCGATCTAATCTTGATTAAAATAAATGTTCAAATTGAGATGAGTAAAGTCTGTTGAATATGATCATTTAATCATCTCTAACCCCGTTACATGAAAGGTCATTTTGGGCATTTAATAAATAAAATAAATAGAAAATAAGGTATATAAATTAAATAAGCAATTACTTTGGAAGCAAGCGTGAGGTAGTTGTATCTTAGTCACGCCAACATTATGCGTTTGGAATGAAAGCTTTCCATTTTTATTACTTTTTTTTATTTGTTAGAATTTAAAAATCAATATATCTTTTGCATCTTTCTTTCAAGCATTAATTTGGAATTGATGATCCAAATATAGTGGTTTTATCATTTTGGATGTTAACTAAAGATATGTGATTGATTTACTTGAAAAAAATTTGAATCAAATAGAAAGATTTTGATTTTATACCTTTTGAAATTTGAATTCAAAGCAAATTAACACTACCAAAAATATTGACATCATCAACGGAATTTTTTCATCAGTAATTATCAATGGATTACCGACAAAATGTATTGGTAAAAAAATTTGACCATTACCAACGAAATACCAATTGATTATTGACGAAATTTACTGATGGATTTAATTTCGTCGGTAATCCATAGATAAAAAAATGATACGATTTATCGTAAAAATTATCAACAAAAATTTTTATCGGTAATTATTTTACCGATTAATTATCAATGAAAAATTTTCATTTGTTAAAAAATTAAAAAAAATAATGGTTGCCGATTACTGATGGAATTTCTATTGGTAATCCATAAAAAAAATCACATAAAATTTTAAAACCCTTTCTTAGAATTGAGAAACACCTTCTTTTTTGAAATTTTAAACCCCTAAATCCCTCTCTCTTCCTCCCTTTTTCCCCATTGTCGGTCATCTCAACTGGTCATCTCCCTTCACCAACAGTAATTTACTTATTCGTTTTTCAAGTATTTAGTTATTTATTTATTGAGTTTATTGTTAAACTTTTTATCATAATTTTGTTGAGATTTGTTGCGTTTTTTGTTATATATTTATTAAGTTTTTGTTGGATTAAACTTTTTATTAATTTTTGTTGGATTTTTTGTTGAGTATTATTAATTTTATTGGTATTGTTGAGTTTTTTTTTTTATTTGTTGAGTATTACTGAGATTGATTGGATTTTTTAAATAAATTTATTAATTTTGATATGTGTAAAATTTATGTTGATTTTATTATAAGTTTAGGTTTGATGTGTATTAAAATTTATATTGGTTTTGATAATTTTTTATATTTAATTTTTTAAAATTTAATAATAATTATAGAAATTAAAAAATTTATGTTGATTTTATATTAAATTTGGGTTTAATGTGTATTAAAATTTATATTTGTTTTGAAAAAAAATTATTTGATATTTTTTAAAAATTAATAATAATTATTGAAATATTGTAGTTAGAGCTGTTCACAGGCCAAGCTGAGCCTAAGCGAGATATGAAACTGTTATAAACAAGCCTAGGTTCGACCTGGCCTGATTTTTAGGTCTTTCATTTGATATTTTTTAAAACTTAATAATAATTATTAAAATATTATGATTAGATCTATTCATAGGCCAGGCTGAGCCTAAGCGGGATATGAAACAGTTATAAACAAGCCTAGGTTCAACCTGGCTTAACTTTTCAAGTCTCATTTTTTGTCTAAACTCGTTTTTACATATAATAAGAAAGTTAAAACCTGCCCAAAGTATTGCCATTTTTTTCAAACTAAAAAAAAATCACAAAAATTACACATTACAACACATTTACTTTTCAAAGTTTAAAATAAAATCTAAAAACCACATAATATTTAATAAGTTTATTGTATAACATAATAAATTTAGATATTTCTTAGCTTGTAGATCATGAAAATCTAAATTAAAGTCTAAAAAAAAAAAAATGCAAGTTCAAATTAAATAAAAAAAATTTTCCAAAGTAATTGGAAAAAAATGCATTAGCATATTTTCCAATAGCTTCCTTACTTGTTGATAGATTTTCAAAACTTTACTTAAAACCTATAAGTTACAAAATAAAACATCATGTTTTAACAAAATATCAAATTAACTAAATTAAAAAGGAGAATTGTGATCTTTTAATTAAGATGCAAACCTAAAATACCATGGTAGAAGCATCATTATCATCATTATCATCATTCTCATTGTTGCTAGAGCTAGATGCTTTATCATCCGATCATAATATAAAAAGTAGAGTAAACAATTAGGAACTTTAAAAAACAAGTACAGGTGCTATAATAAAAAATAAAATTAATATAATAATAATAAGAAAAGCATTACCTGTTGAAAAACCTTTAGCACATATCCAAGCATCAAAACAAACAATAACTTGAACAGTTTTTGGTTTGAGTGAACTTCTTAAAGAAGTAAAAACTCTCTTTCCAATGCTAAAAGTTGACTTAAAAGCCACAGTAGATATTGGAATTACCAAAAAATCACGAGCCAATAATGAAAGCTTAGAATATTGAATTGAGCTTTTACTCTAATAATCCAAGATATCAATATCTAATTGCAACTTTTCATTTTCAGTTTTAGATTGACTTAAAAACAATTTGTAATCATCACTCTCAGCAAAGCTTAATCCCATATTAGCCTTACTCATATTAAAATCATACAAGCTAGAATTAACAAAATCAGCCCTTGTCACATTAGATGAATCATTGGGTTTGTAGTGTTTCACATACTTTTCAAATAAGATTTTAAGAGTACCCAAAACTGTTTGAACAAACTCTGAAGCATGACTACCATAAAAGCTTTGTATAACAATATTCCATTTAGTTCAACTTGTAACGAGGATCTAAAATGGCAGCACATAATAACACCAAACTATACTCAGCCTAATATTTGTTGAATTTCTCTTGCATCTCTTTAACCATTAGACTTAAGAATGTATGTGGACCTTTAATAGTATCTACCAAGCAATTGTGGATTTTTCAAACCCTTCTAAAATAAATGTTTGTAGTAGTGTATTTAGAATAAGAAAACACACTTGTTACATTATAACAAATTTTAAAAATTTACAAATAATGCAAACATTTCCCCACCTTCGTCAAAAAGCTCAAAGAGTTGAAAATCTTTATTATGCTGCCCCCAATAAATTAACATATCTTTGTTATGAAGAGCAAAGTCAAGCATCAAATAAGTAGAATTTCATCTTACACACATCTTGACGTAACTTTTTAGTTACATTCATTTTAAAACTCTTTTCAGTAACATCATAAAACCTTTTCATATGAGGACCAGATTTTTTTATGTAGTTAATCCCATTACAAATTTTACTAACAACATCATCAACAAGATTCAAACCAGCTTGAATAATGAGATTCAAAATATTCCCATAACATCTAATTTGAAGGAAAGCACCATCACATGAAAAGGCCCTATTAGCACAAAATTGACTTTTAAGAGCAGAAACTATAATATCATTGTAAGATGCATTATCCAATATGATGCTGAAAATTTTTGTCCATATTCCATTGAACTAAGCATTAAAACAAGTTTATCAGCTATGTATAAACTATCAAAAAAAAAAAAGGTTTAAAGCTTTAAACCTTATTTTTCTCTTTTCCAATTTTCAATTATTATCAATCCAATGAGCAGTAATACAAATATATTCATCAACAATATGCTTAGATTTTTAGCTATCAGAGGTTAAGCATATTTGACTAGATGTATCAGCCAACTCTGCTTTGGTATGTTCTCTTTCCTTTGCATAATAACTCAAGACATCTCTAGTAGTTGTATGTCTACTTATATTCTTATAGTGAGGACTTACAACACTCATCATGTATCTAAACCCCAGTTCCTCAATTGTTTTAAAAGAATATCTACCACAGACAAGAAAAGTTGATATAGCTCTACGGCATTCTCTGTGTTATACTTATAATTTCTTGCACTTGAACCACCTCCTGAAGTTGTCTAAGTTGCAATGGTATATTGAGTAATATCATGATTGTGTCTTTTAAAGCAACTATTTAAACGACATTTCAAATGATAAGTTTCATTATAAGATTTAGCTAATAAAATAGACTTACAGTGGCTATATTGGGCCTTCATAAATTAATTATCTTCATATTTGAGTTTAATCATCTTTTCCCACACCTTCAATTTTGAAAAAGAATTTTTTTGGCTCTTAAAGGCACTTTTGTTCTTGTTATAGCCATCTTTCACATTTATAGGTGCATTTGAACTTGCCGTTATCATGTAGGTCTAATTAGTCTTACAAGCTACCAAGAAATGCATAATAAATACTAAATTTTATGAAGAAAAAAAGTGATGTACATTATTTAGAAACAAATTGAACCCTAGATTATTTCAAAAGGAAAAAAAAATATTTTTAGT